ATTCCTGTACCTTCCCCTCTTACATGTGGCCGTCTGATGAACTTGAAGGAGAGGTTGGTTATGGTGGGAGGGATTGGTAAACAAGATCGGCCTGACATAATTAAGGGGATTGGTATCTGGCTTCTAAAGGGGAAGGACTGGCAAGAGATTGCGCGAATGCCTCACAAGTTCTTCCAAGGGTTTGGGGAGTTTGATGATGTTTTTGCCAGCAGCGGCACAGATGATCTCATATACATACAGAGCTACGGAGCTCCAACTCTTCTTGTATTTGACATGAACCTGAGGCATTGGAGATGGTCACAGAAGTGCCCTGTAACAAAGAGGTTCCCACTTCAGCTCTTTACTGGTTTTTGTTTCGAACCGAGGCTCGAAATTTCTCCTTGATTGTGTGGATTGATAGGATGTTGTGGTGGTATGATACCAATTTGTCCGAAATTCCTGTGTTCCACCTTGTTTTCTTTTCTTTTCCCTTTAGTTTTCAGTTACAACATTTGTGTCCAAAAATTTGTACACATATAATTTACCTGCAGATAAAAAGCTGCTTATTAATGGTCATGGCTATATTATTCTTTCAATTGGAATTACCGCTGGTAATACAATCTTATGAGTTCCTGACATGTAACTTATAAACATTTAACTCTTTTGCATAGGGATTCTGTCATACAATCGGGGATATATGATATGTTTATTTTCTTTATCCCTCACGTATAGCCCGGGATGCCTAAAAAATTTCCCTTTTATGCCTCATTATCTATGTGGGAGTGGCAATCTGTTCCAATGACATACATTGTCTAGACCGTTAGATTAGCGAAGTTTTGTTCATTAGATGGATCATACTCTGTTTACATGTCATAAGCGTTCGTACGACGAAACTTCCATTGATTGGTACTGTCCCTTTTCAAGTTCCATTGATAGGAAGGTGTTTTCCTAGTCCAAGGGAAATGATCAATTTCTGGCAATGAGCCAATGACAGAAACTTCGTGTGTTATCTTTTAGCGAATTCACTTGTATTCAACGTAAAAATAATTAACAAACTGATTAGGCACTTAAAAAAGTGGAGATTAAGAGGTAAGCTTGGGTTTGCCTTGTGTGGGTTGGTTGAGAAGTGACGAAGATCAACACTTTGATCTTAAAATTCTATATTTAATGGAGGTAGATTTTGCTTGGTGGACATGTGACGACGGAAGATTGTGATTTATGAATTTATGCTGCCTTTTTTTTTTTTTTTTTTTTTTTCTTGTGGTCCAAAGACTTGTGCCCACTAACAAATATTTTAAAGAAAAAGGATTTTATTTTATTGAAATGCCTTGGCTTTTCAATGAATCTTAATTTAAGTTTGGAATTTTACGTAAGTATTTGGCTAAATTGATTAAAATGGTGTGGTTTCCTCTTAAGCACTTAAATTTGAATTTTTTTTCTTTGTAGTTTAGCGAAATATTCTTATTAAAAAATTTCTTGTAAACTCATCAACATCTCTGTAGCTGTTTGTGTTTTGTATGCTTCTGGAATCGTCATCACTCCAATTCAAAAAAGTTTTGAATTTTACGATTTAAATGTTTAAAATTATTCAAATTATTCTAATGGTATTGATTTGTTCAAATAGAAGTGAGGGCAAGTTGACAACATTAGAATTAAAAACACCAAATATGATCACTAGAATCAATAAGCCAATACGCTTGGCTTGGGTGGCACCAATTAGGCAATCTAGTAATCTACTAATTTTCTTATCTAAATTTTGTTAAAATATGTACAATCCTCCATTCAGGGGATGACAAAAATCTTTGTCATTTTTCTTTTATGATAAAACGAAACTATTTCTTCGAGTTTTACGATACGAACAATATAGAGAGATGAAAAGGCCAAATATAGAATTTCGAATTCTAATATATACTCTTAATTACTTGACTTGCAAGCACTTTGCAGTTATAGGGGCTATTACGAGAACATGCATATACAGTTTATAATTGAAATTTGTTTCCCTTAATAGTCTATCTAAAAAGGTTGGCAATGTCTTTGCTTAGTGGGTGGCTAGTGTAAGAGAAGAATCAAAACACATAGTCATTTAGATGAAGTGCTACTTTTGTAACAAATCTTTTCATGCGAATGTGAGCTACCTTTCACTCTTATCTTTATTTATTGGGTAAATTACATTTTCATATCTTATGTTTGGAGCCTATTTTAATTCCTTACAATATCTTCAAAACATTTCACTTTCATACGTTAAGTACTATTTTATTTCAAAATAATACATCCGTTACATTTTCCATCCATGGATCCGTTAAGTGCTAACGTGGCTGCCACATATATGCCACGTGGCAAAAAAAAATAATTTTTAAATTTTTTTTTAAAACCTGAATTTTCTCAAAAAAAAAAAAAAAAAAAAACTAAACAAACCCAGAAACCGCCTGACCCACTTCTCATCTCCTCCCCATTCACCTCCAATCCCTTGTCTCTCCCCAGACCCACTCCTCCCTCTTCACCTCCTGACCCCAACGAACTCGACCCACCACCACCCTAGACCAACCGGAAAAAAAATTCACTTTCTTCTTCCCACCCTAAATCCACCACCATGAACTTAAGCCAAGCTCTTCAACCTCATGCACTGGAAGCTTGCCCATGCAAATGGCTACCATTGTTGTCGCCGTTTGAAAACTCTGAACCGACGAACCTAAGGTTGCATCTTTTGAACCCCCTTCCTCTCTATCCGATCACGGCCTTCGACCCACTGCTCTTAATTGACTGGAGCTCGTAGGCCCCGCTCCGAATCAACTGCGTTCCCGATCCGGTCACCGCCTCCAACAAGCCAGTAGCGTCAATTACATATCGCAACAACGTCGTTCCGAGGTGTCGTCTTCCTTGATTACTTCGCCTCCCTCAATCGTGCTTGAAGCACTATCTCACTATTTTCCGTTGAGATCGATAAGATTTAGAGATTCTGGGTTGGGTTTAATTGGGGTTTCTGAATTTTTTGTAAAGATGTGAAATTGGTGTTGCTTGTGCTTTGTTTGATGGACTTGGATAAACAAAGCAAATTGCCTTCATATTTTGATAAATTGCTTCATTTGGGATTTTTGTTTTTGTTGCTTCATTATGTTTGAGCTGAGGAGGAAGAGGAGTATGACGACGTCATTGGGTAGTAATGGTGGTGGTTGCTGATGGGAGTTTGAGGAGGAAGACGGCGGCGGCGGGACGCGGGTGAACTGGAGAAGAAGGGTGAGGGTGATGATTTGTAAGGGATGGGAGGTGAAGAGGGAGGAGATGGAGAAGTGGGTCGGGGGGTTTTTGGGTTTGTTTGGTTTTTTTTTTTTTTTAATAGGGTAAATATTATTATATTTTAAATGTATAAAAAATTATTTTTTTTGTCACGTGGTACAAATGTGGCTGCCACGTCAGCACAAATGTGGATTCCATATTTGCGATGTCATCACTTAACAGTTTACTTAACAGATTTTCTGAAATTGAAATAAAATGATAAGTAAATGTATGAAATTGAATTGTTTTAAAGATGTTGTAAGGAATTGAAATCGTCCTCAAACCTGAGGGGTAAAATGTAATTTATCCTTATTTATTTGTCTTTCTCACTTATCAATTGTCACGTGAATTTCACTATCACTTAAAACATAAGTATTTAATGTGTTGAAACTTAAAAGAATATATTATTTTATTTCCACATATGTCCCTAACTAATGACAATCTACCAGCCTTAGACCTGGTTTGGTACTGAGGTGATTCTGAAAAAAGCTGCTATCAAAAAAAGTTGGGAGCTGTTTTTGTGTTTGGTAAACACTCAGCTTCAGTTTTTTTTCACAGTTTTGGGTGAAAAAAAAAGCCAAAAACAAGAAGCTGCAAAACTCAGCTTTGAAAAACTGGCTTTTTTTCACATCTGTTTTACATAAAAGTTTACCAAACACTCTAATATTGCTTTTTTTTTTTTTTTCAAAAGCACTTTTACAAAAAAGTTTACCAAACACTCTGCTGCTTTATTTCACAGCTGCTTATTCTCACAGCACAGCAGAAGCAGCTTTTTTTCAAAGCACAGCAATACCAAACCAGCCCTTAACCCACCCAAATTAAAAATAAATAAAAAATATCCAACTTAGCTCTAGAAGCCTGGTCGTCCATTTTCCCCATCCTTTCTTGTTCTTTTCATGTTTATGGTTTTTAATACCAAATTGCAAAAAATTGCAGAAAGCATTCACCCCACCATATTAATCCTCCAAACCTACATCACAAAAATCAAATCATGATAGAAAGAAAGATCATCGGACAAATCGTGACCAATCGGATTTAGGGAATAGGGTGCGGCCAAGGGTTTTTCTCTAGGTGGGTTTTTATTTTTGGTAAAGAAAAGAAAAAAAAAATTGGTTAGATTATAGAACACGGGGTGGTAGGTGAGAGAAGTTAGCTCTTGAAAACAAGGGTAAGGGGTAAGAATAATGTTGAAGACTAAATTTGTAGATAAAATTTTGTAATTAAATGATATGAGAGTTTATTGTTTATTTATTTGTCAAACAATAGATTTATTAAATTAGATGTTAGATTAGAGAGTCGACGGGTTCGAACCGACGCCATGGTGTAAGGACAACAATCATCTTCACAAATGTGGTAGAGAGCCACAATGATGACAAACATTGATAAACGTTCTCATTCTTATTGGTGAAAATTATTTAGTTTTCAAATTTTGTCTATTTAATCTCCCTATCATTACCCCAAGGTTAAATATGAAAAAATAGTAATGAGTTTATTCCTTTAAAAAAAGAAAATAGGAACAACTGGTGACAAGCCACGATTATCCACCCCTTTCGGTTACCGGAGAGGCTATCGGGAATTTCACCCTGCCCATGGCCACAGTTAAGCAAACTTACTAGCTTGGAGCATCAAACTTGAAACCTTTAGCAATTTTTTGTTTATTGGGGATTCGCAGTTCATGCCTTTACCACTGGAGTCCATACGACACTTAATAAATAAGAAAGGTAAATTAGAAAAACAGGTGGGAAAGGTAGCTATCATTTTTTTTTTTAATTTTTTAAATCTGTGCTCCAGTAAAATAAGGAAAACAAGAATTGAACCGTGATTGTAGGTGGATAAGTCTTTTATTAGTGAACCTAGAAATCCTCCTTTTAGCAAAGGAACTGACAAATTGGATTAATGTATCCATCAATCCTCCCAAAGAATGTACACTATCGTGAATTGGTTTAGTGGATAGAGACTTTTTCATTAACCCGTTGCGTTTTGAGTTCAAACCGTCCCTCCCCTCTTCTTAGCATAGTTTGAAATATTAGTATCATTTGTAACAAGAAAGTTCAAATTACATTTGAGTTGTGAACTTGACCATAATGGACATGCAATGGAAAATTAAACATACCAAAATCGAGGGCAAAATGGTCTAATAAAACTGGACTGTTGGGGGTTGGGGTTGGTGTTTTACGTCTTGTGCCAGACGCGAAACTTTGTTAGCGTTGGCATTCCAAAAACGGCAATATCGGTTGTTGAGGATCTTTCTTTGCGCTCGTAAAAGTGCAGTAAATCAATGAGTCCGATGGACAATCCTCCTCGCCTCTCTGTCGTAACCATGCCAACAACTAAAGCTCAATTTTTGAAACTGATGATGAAGACGACGATGATGCAGCAGAAGCCAATAAGTTGTACCTGAAAAAAAAAAAGAACAAAAAAAAGGAGAACCTTTTCCTCTGGAAATTCTTGGGATTCGAAACAGGGTTTCTGACAAAGGTAAATCTTTGCGCAAACAATGTTCTTTTTGGTGGGTTTGGTTTTGTTTGGTCTTGTCAGAGATATTGAAGCCAATGCATAGGTTGCTTTTGGGGTTTAATGTTTGGTTAATAACTGCTGGGTTGGTTTGGAGCTCATGTAGATTTTGGCTCTTGGTTAGATAAATGTCAGATACCGGAAGACCCCATTTGCAATTATGAATCATTTTTTGTATTTTGTTTTTGTTCTTTGAACGAGTTTTGATTATTTATGTGATCATGTGATATCTGATAATTAGAATACAGAAGCGTTCTTTTGGTTTCAATTACCTGCACAAGAGGAACTTTTTTTTTTTTTTTTTTTTGATAAAAGGAACAAGAGGAACTTTATTAATGTTTTAGAAGTCGATAAAAACCAATTCAGAAAAAGAGATTATAACTTCTTATGTCAATTTTTCTTGGTTATGTTTAATCCGCAGTTTCAAATTATTTTTTGAGTGCAGATATGTATATGTATTAAGTCTTGCATTACTTTTTAGGCGATGATAACATGTTAGAGAATCCGTTGTATTATAAATATTACGTGCATCCTTTATGTTGTAAATAACCTGTTTAATCGTGAATATGAACTATTGATTATATGACCAGATCGTCAGTGTAGCAAGAGAATTTTACGCATCATTGTATTTGTGGGTTGTGATAATGATTTTTAACTCAGTAGCTTCAGGACCACATTACTGTTACATTTCTTTGTTGCAATGCGTGATGCTAATAGATGTGCTAACGAACTCAAATGTGTAACATCGTCTACTTTGAAATGCTGATCCAATAAGAACTATGCCTCAGGGCGATACATGGAGCTTCTGCAAGAGGAACTTTCACCAGATGACTTCAAAGCTGCTAAAACAAACTGTATAAAATATACCAGGCAGGACTCGATGCATGGAGCTTACATCATGAATGACTTTGAATGGAAACATTACAGTCCTGCAGTTTTCAGGTTTATTTTCAGTGTCCTCTCAGATGTGTTACATGTCAAATTATTTTCGTGCCAGATTTCTTTGTTCGTATAATTAGAAGTGATTAGCATGTCTCCACATAAATGTCTATAGTATATATACATATGCCTGTGTTCGTTGCTATCTTTTTCGATTTTGAGAAAGCTATAATCGAATAGATTGTTTGCAGACGTCTGCTGGAGCTTGACAGTATTAGTTATGACGACTACCTGCTTACAATATGTGGAGATGACACTCTAAGGGAGGTTTCTTTACCAGGAAGACATGGTAGGGTGTATATATTGCCTGGTGACAAACGATTCGTGATTAAAACCCTGCGGAAATCAGAAAAGAAGGTAAAAAAAATTCTCTAGTGTCATCTTACCATTAATGGATGAAAGGAAACAAAAAACTCTGAAACAATTCTTCTTATTTTTATATTCTTTGAAGGATTTTATGTTTCTAAAGATTTATTTATGAATTAATTCGAAGTTTTGATGCAGTTAATCAACAAAGAAATTTGCTTTGCTTTTATATCTCTTTATCAGCAGTCTAAGCATATTACTATGTTTACCTTTTCTCATAGGTGTACCTAGAAATGCTTCCAAATTATTACCGCCATGTTAAGAAGTATGGCGCCTCACTTTTGAACAGACTGTATGGACTTCATGTTATCAGGCCACCAGGAGGTATCAAGGTACGATCTTCTCAGTTACGAGAATTGAAGTTTACTTATTTAAATTAAATGCAATATGATTGGATAGAAATAGCGCACAATATACAACCAATCATAAATATGAAAATAGAGCTATATACATATGACTACAAATATCAACATAGATGATGCGGAAATTGCATCATCTTTTGCCTTCCATGATGCTCATAATAAGCGTCATAGATGATGTGCAAACTGCGTCATCTTTCGCCTTCTATGATGCTCTTAAAAAGCGTCATGGATGATGGTGTCATAGCACTCGTATATGCAAAGGGCTTGGATGAACACATTTATCCTACCAAATCTTCCTTTAATTAGGTTTTGATTCAAGTTCCTTCTAATCAATAGTTACCTTTTTTTTTTTTTTTGAAATGAGCAGGTTTACTTTGCCGTTTGGGCAACTGTAATGCCGTTAGAACTATGCTTATATAAGTGCTATGATCTCAAAGGGTCTTCAGTAGGCAGAACCTGCAACAAATCACAAGTTCATGACACAGTCATTCTTAAGGATCTGGATTTTGACTTTTGCTTTTACCTTGACCCATTGGTCCGAGATCGGCTCTTAGCGTAAGTACCTTTGTCTAATTATCAATGTCATTTCTCAGCATATCTGCGCATAAGCAAACTTTTCTGCAAAAAACTTGAGTTCAGTTTGAATATTTTGGATGTTAGTGAATAGCGGGTGCCTCTTTGAAATTTTTTATTTTACTTGAAGATTGAGTCATTATTAAAATTAAAAGCAGCTTTGATCTCAAACTCGTATGTCGTTTCCTATTTTCTTGTAATAATACAGCACTCCTAGGATGTCTGGAGATGTTTTGAATGAGCCGTTGTAGTTGTGTTCAATTATTTGAGGGCATGTTGCCATCGGTACTATAATAAACAAAATTTTGTTATTCACTCCTTTTACCTATTGGATGTCTAGAGATCTTGAGAGTCATGAAACTTTACTTCTCTATTGTGCACTGCTGCTGCTCTACAAAGTATCTGATTTGTATCTCGTTTCTAAAAGAAAATTTGAGCCCGTAATATTGCCATTGTTATTTGGCAGGTAAACTACAAACTGACATTTTTTTTCTTGCCAGGGTGATTTCTATGGAGACAAAGGGAGAATGACTTTAGTTTGGAGAGTGCATTCACAAACTAATATTTTGGAAATGCATTCCATCATATATAATTTGATTCTTAGTAATTACGAACTCCTAATTATTCATTTATTCGCTTGTTGGATTTTGGCTGTGGTATGTTATACACAGATTTGATTGTATAGCTTATCCTATTACGCACATCAGTCTCAGAAGACAAAAATTATTACAAGGATGCATGGATCTGTTTGCTTCGTGACATATAAATCCCTTGTTTTGCCTTATTAACATCTTTTGTCTTCTTATTTTTTTATAGGCAAATCAAGTATGACTGCGAGTTTTTGGAAGGCGAGGGCATCATGGATTATAGTTTATTGCTTGGTATACACCTAGATACTACACGTTCATTGGAAGGTGGTTCTTCTCATTAATCGTTTTCTACCGCTTATTGTGCAATTAAGTTTTTCATCAGCCATGGATGTTTTGTATCATGCAAATCTATGCAGACTAAGAAATTCTAAAAATATGACAATACAGCAACCATAGACAGAAATATTTCTGCAGAAAACTAGTACAAAATTTCCAAAACTGCGATGGTATTTGTTAGGGTTGCATATTTTTTTCATGAATTGAACATGTACAGAGTCTTACTTCTCTAACATAAACAATCCACCTCTCCCTTGGCAGGTTCAATTGATGAAAAAAATTCCGGAAGTTTTAATGCCAAAAGGCAAATAGATGATACTTCAGAAGACGATGAAACCTCATCAGAGTTAACTCTTGCCGATATATGCGATCTAATTGACAGGTACTGTATTGTACATATTGCTGCATAGAAGTCTGGACAACAAGATGAAAGTCGGTTTAGATTGGTTCTGTTTGGATTTAAATATAGGCATCAAAATGTCCCAGTTATCATAGAATTGTGCTAGGTTCTGTTGGGTGTAAACATAGTTGGAAGTTCGCTTTCACAACTATTGTGTCAACTGACTCATCCAATAATTAATACCATCATTGAGGCTCTGCTGGGGAGATAATTCCAGTAATTTCCTAATGATGGTTTAGCTGTGACAAACTAGTATCTGAGCAGTTTGTCCTGGATGCGGAAGAAAGCAATGGCAGATGACACGAGACTTTTCCCATATCAATTCTTGTCACTCCTGAAAATCTGTAGTAATTTTCAGTTGCTTTCTTTGGCTTTCAGGACAATCCCCTCTGATAGGAAGTTTTCAAGGCTTAAGCCCCGACTATAGTAGGGGTGTAAATGAAAGTGCCTTTACAATTTAGGTAACAGTTTTAACTAATAAAACCTGACAAACTTCCAACCATATGTTCCTTCCAAATCATATATGCTGTTTACTAGTAACTTCTTTAATTTTCTTTTCTTCCTCTTGCTCATTATTCTTCTGCTGCAGGCCTGATTTGAAATTTGGTGACAGACTGCCAGCACGAGCTGTCCGAACCTGCAGGAATGAAATGGAGAGTAGATCATATAGCTCCAGCAGAACACAAGAATGCTTCAATGTTCTTTTATTCTTTGGAATAATAGATTTTTGTCAGAATTACAACATGAAGAAACGTATTGAGCATGCTTGCAAGGCAATGAAATACGACTCAAAGTCCATCAAAACTGTGAACCCCAAAGCCTACTCTTCTCGCTTTCAGGAGTTTCTGAGCAAAGTATTTCTGCCCGAAGAGTCGGACTAGTCTGACCACAACTGGCAGGTTCCGTATGCTCCTTCAAAATCTGACCTTTAAATTTCTTGTATGAAACACATTCATGTTATTGTTAGACTCTGAAAAAAATAAAACTGAATGAAAATTAAAACTAGAAAGTAGTCATATTAGACCTGTTCATGCCACATTTGGGCTTTCAATAAGGATGGTCTATGTATGAGGAAACATGCAGTAGCTCATGTCCATGGTTCAGCTCAAGTATAACAAAACTCAAATGTCAGAATTGGTACTTAGGGTTGTATTTGATAACTTACTAGATTTAAGGTATGCTAAAAGAAAAAATGAAGATATTTTATCCAAATTGAAGTTAGAACATGGATTACTCATGAAGCAAATGTAGCCCTCCCAATTTTCACCAAATGCTATGATATCAAAACCTTATATATACTTCACCAAGCCTTGATTCCTATGGTTATCTAATCCAATTTAGACTCCGTTTGGTATTGTTTCTTTTTTACTAAAAACTGCTTCACTTTAAAATTAAGCAATAAAAAAATGTTTAGTAAAAATAAAATAACCTGCTTATTTTTAAAGCAATGGCCTCCAACAGTTTATAAAAGCAGCATGTAGCTTACTGTACTTTTAAAAACAACTTTTATTAAAAGCAAAGCTGAGCCTTTAATGGATATTTTTAATTCTTGTAAATACCCTCATTAAATTTTTAAATTGACATTGCTTATGCTTCTACATATATTTTCTCTTGGAGAACAAAGTTATTGCCATCACCTACCACTACAATAACTAACATTACATCACCACTGTCATCATCATCGTCATCACCACTACTGCCACCATACTCATCACCACCTCCACCACCACAACAACCAACACCACTAGCACTACAATTGCACCACCATCCGTTGTCGTCACTGTCGCCATTATTGTCACCACCTCCACCACTACCACCACAACCCCCACAACCGTTACCACCATTGTAACCTCTGCACCCCAACCACCACACCTCATTATTGGCACCACCACCATAACTTACAGTTGTTGTTGCCATCACCATCATTGAAGTCGACTCCACCACCACTGCTAATGTCATCGCCTTCACCACCATTATCATCGCCACCACCTATGACTGCAACAACCAGCCTTACACCACGGTCACCATCACCACCACCTTCATTGCCATTACTACCACCAAAAGTGTTGCAATTGCCATCTCAACCACTGGCACCACTGCTACCTATAACCCTATTGCCACACCTTATTATTAGTACCACCACCGCACCCCCACCATTGTGGCTGCCATCACTGCCACTATTTCTGCCACCAACCCCACTACTGTGTCTATTTTTGTCATTATATACATATATATCACTTTTACATTAAATTTTACCAAACACTTTCACACTACTTTTCATAAATAACAATTTATCAAATGCTCAACTATTTCATTTTCTAGATAATTATCCTTAAAGCATAATAAAAGCTTCTTCTTTTTTTTATTTTTTTTTTATTTTTTTTTATTTTTTAAACACAGCAATCTGGCTCAAAAAATCCCTAAGTATGCATTGTAACCATGAAGGGTTTCTATTCTTGACACACTGTTAAGGATGTGATTTGAATCTTAATAAGGAACCGTTTGGAAGTGCTTTTAAGATGACTAAAAACACTTTTGGAGAAAATGTTTTTGGATTCCAAAAGCACTTGATTTCAAGTGTTTTTTTTTTTAAGATTCACTTGCTTTTTTGCTAAGGATTGGTACTAAAAATATGCACCAAAAAAGCTTTAACCATTTTAAAAGTACTTCCAAATGAGACATAATTAAGTTCTTAAAATAACTCTAAACATGGTTTGACAGGGAGTCAGCCACAACATGGTTGAAGATTGAGCTAATTGATCATTTTAGACAACGTAGTAAAGAGGAGAGGTTTCCGGTCGAGACTAAGAGCTCTATCACTTGTCAGCTATCTCTGGATCCAAATGTCGCATTTCGTGCATGTTGTAGAAAATACAAGCTTCTGTATATATATATGATTGTGAACTTGTAACTGATGGTAGTATTTATAAAGAAAAACAAAATTGAAGTTAGTTGCTTAGCGGGTTGTGTATCCCATTGCATGCACAAGTTGTTCATAATAGATGATTCTTGCTTTAAATTTCATAGGAACATAAACTCTCATGGAAATTAAACCTTCAAGTCATATTGTTCATAGTAGACTTCTACATGCCATTGTATGCACAAGTTGTTAATACTAGACGATTCTTGCTATAAATTTTAATGTGATTACATGAAAATATTCATGTAATATTTTTCACTATAGACCATTCTTTCTATAGATTTCAATACGATCATTGGTAACTCCAAAATCCATTAAAAGGATATAATATTACAAGGGTTTCACTCTTTGGGGGAAAGGATCGTATAACTGCGTTGAACTTTGGTGGGTAGATCTTAGTGTGATTACTTTCCCTGCTTATCAAAGAATCCCTTACCTCCATTGATTTCAACTGTATATGTTAAGTAGTTTAAATTTCTCTTACAATTATTGTATAGTATTAGACAGACAGAGTCTGTGTATATAAGTAATGGCAATTGCCATTGATCAAATCAATATAACAAATATCTGTTGGAGATTAAGCTTGCTACATGATTGAAGATAGCTTGGATTTCAAGTTTATGTTCTTAGTTATAGCTAGAACACTTGGTCACAATGTATGACTGAGATTAAAACATCTTAATAACTCGTATTATGCCACCTGTAATTTTATGTTAAGAGTTTAAGTGAAGCATGTTTCTCTCACGTTTAGCCAAACGGCTAGATTCCTCATTGTATTCCTTCACACTTCTTGTGTGATTGAGTATTGGATTCAATGTGTACGCAAGCATTAAGAGAGCAATGTACTATTTGCAACATTCTCTCTGATTGCTGTCATCATTCCTTATCTACTCGAATCCAACTTTCACCAAAATAACCATTTTAAAACTAAATTCCACATGGCCTCAGAGCTTGGTTCTATCTAAATCAAAGGGCGTAATCTATGAAGAAGATGTATGAGATTCTAAATGAAGAACTCAAAAGGTTCAGTTGTAACGGCTAGATCTGGAGGTGAGCTACGAGCTCTGATCTTCACTGAGATCAACTACTATTTTATTTCAAGATGAAGATTGTATTCAAGTCTTATAATCTTTGTATATGTTTGTGGATGAATGTTATAAGGCATTAGCTCAGGATCTGGTTGCTCATGATGCTAAAGCTCTCGGACTAATTCAGAACTTAGTTTCAAATGAAATTTTCCCAAATGAAGAAACTACTAAGGCATGTTGGGATATACTAAAGCAAGAGTACTAAGGAGATTCTCACGTTCGAGCTTTGAAATTACAGGGAATTAGAAGAGATTTTGAATATGCTAAAATGAAAAATGATGAATCACTTTCTGTGTATGTTACTAGATTGTTTGATTTGATAAATAAGATGAAGATGTATGATGAAGATCTCTCTAACAAAAGAAATGTAGAGAAGTTGCTTATAAGCTTGGCATATATGTGATCAAGGTTACAAAGGATATTAGTAAAATTGATCCTATAAAGGTTCTAGCAACTCTCAAAGGGTTTGAACAAAGGTTGAATAAACATGTTGATGATGGAGATGTTCACTGAGAGAGTATCCAATAGTCTTAGCCTACAATTCAATAACAGCTCATATGCTAGGGGTTCCAAAAGTAGAAAACCTGGAAGAACAAAGATAAGAAAGGAAATGTGAAATTTGGTGAAAAGCCAAACTATGTGCCTAAATTTGGGGGAAATAAGTAGAATACAAATGATGGATGCAAATATTGTGGAAATCTGCACTTTGGTGAATGTTGGTTCAAAAGGAAAACCAAAATGTCACAAGTGTGATAAATTTGGATATATTGCCAAGGATTGTAGAAGCAAAATGATTCAACAAGTAGATTTTGCTTAGCAAATGGAAGAAGAAACCTCTATGTTATTTGCTTGTAATTCTGCTACAATGATGAAATATGAGCATGTACAGTTTATTGACAGTGGATGTAGCAATCATATGACCTTATATGAATCTCTATTGATAAATGTTGATAAAACATTGAATCCTAGAATCAAGATGGGTAACAGACAAATTGTCCAAGCCACATGAAAAGGTAATTTTATTATTGAAACAAAAAATGAAACCAAGTACATTAAGGAGTAATGTTGGTTCATGGTTTTGGTGAAAACCTTCTGAGTGTTGGATAAATAATACAACATGGGTATTTCTTGTTTGGTGATGACATGGTGGCAATATTTGAAGATAGGCAACTTGAGCATCATGTGGTCACAGTGCAAATGACAAGGAACATATGCTTTCCTTTGCTTATGAAAGATATGAATATTGTTGCTACGAAGGCAGTGGTTGAAGAAAATATATGGGATTGGGATAGAAGGATGAGACATCTAAACTTCCAAAGCTCTTAGCTACTAGATGAAAAGGAAATAGTGCATGGGCTACCTAAGTTGAAAGGAAGTGATGGAATTTGTGCTGGTTGTGCTGCAGGGAAGCAACATAAAGAAGCATTTGATAAAGATCAATTGTAAAGATCCACACAACCCCCAGAACAAATTCACTCAGATGTGTGTGGACCAATGCAAGTTACGACAATTGGAGGAAATAGGTATTTCTTTACTTTCATTGATGACTGCACTAGAATGTGTTGTGTGTATTTCTTAACTTGCAAGTCACATGTCTTTGGAGTATTCAAAAGGTTCAAGTCAATGGTAGAAATAAAATCTGGCTAATGAAATTAAAAAGCTAATAAGTGATAGAGGTGGAGAATGCATTTCAAATGAGCTTCACAGCTTTTGTGAAAATACTGTGATTGAGAAACAATTGATAGTTGGTTACTCACCACATCAAAATGGTGTTGCTGAGAGGAAGAATAAGACAATTATTGAAATGGCAAAAAGTATGTTACATAAGAAGAGATTACCTTACTACCTTTAGAGTGAAGCTGTTAATACAACTGTCTATATATTTAATAGATGTCTTACAAAGGCAGTGAATGACAAAACTCCATTTGAAGCTTTTAGTGGGAGAAGACCAGGTGTGAAACATCTCAAAGTGTTTGGTTGTGTATGTTACAATACTAAGATACAAGTTGGATGAATGTTCAATTAGAATGGTATTTGTTAGATAAGGCAAAGTTGAAAAATAGTACAGAGTATTCATTCCTGAAACAAAGAAGATTATACTCTCTAGAAGTATTCTATTTGATGAGAGTGCTATTTGGATTTGGAATTATGAGAATGAGAGGTCAAGTTCATCTCCCCTGAACTTGCACTTTAATGACAATGTCTATGCAATTGAGAATGATACAAATAATCAATCTTTAAGAGAATCACTGTTAGAAGGGAGTGGTTATCAAAGGCTTAAATTCCCTAATCCTGTAACAGAAATTGGTGAAGCAAGTTCTATGAGTTCTACACCAGTGAAACTAAGGTCACTGAATGATGTTTATGCAAGATGTAATCTCAGTATCACTGAACCTGAGAGATATGAATATGCAGCTACTGATGAAGCTTGGAAGAAAGCTATGGACAGTAAAATTGAGATGATAAAAAAGAATGAAACATAGGAGTTGGTTGATAGATCGTCAGATAAATTCACTATTCGGGTGAAATGGGTGTTCAAAACCAAATTGAAATTGGATGGCACCATACAAAAACATAAGGCAAGGTTGGTTCCTAAAGACTATTCACAAAAACCAAGAATGGATTACAATGAAACTTTTGCTTTTGTTGCTAGGTTGGATACAACAAGGACACTTGCACTTGCAACTTAGGAAAGTTGGAAGTTATACCAACTGGATGTAAAATCAGCATTCTTGAATGGAGTGTTAACTGAAGAAGTCTATCGGGATAAGCCTGAGGGGTTCATTGTGCCTGACTCTAAAGAAAAGGTTTATAAGTTAACAAAGACCCTTTCATGGCTTAAAATAGGCTCCCAAAGCCTGGTATGAAGAAATCAATTCCTATTTCTTGGGGTGTGGTTTTTAAAGAAGTTCTAGTGAAGCCATACTTTACATCAAAATCAAGGAAGAAGGAGAATCATTGATTGT